GACAAGTGTTTGTTTGCATTACGTTCAGTAGCAAATATTTCATTCATATTCAGGCCAAGAACAAACGAATAATTACTTTATTATGAAACATGCCACCTACAACCTCTTAAAACTATAATCTCTAGCCTGCATAAAAGGTTATACCCTTCAAACGATGCATCGAAACATAAGTTTAAAAATCTACCAGCCTTTCCTTGGTATTGATAATACACCCAGCACTGCCAAGAGGACGCCCCTCTATAGCATAGATTGAAGAATTCCAACAAAGTAAAAAAATAAAATGATAACGAAACTGTCTCACCGCAGTATTACCTACATTTTTTTCCATTTGCAAAATACTAAATTTATCAGTGTAAACATATTGTTGATCAATTTTAAATGTAATAGACAAATATCTAAATGTTTTAAGACTGATGTTGCAAGTTCTTGGACGAATTAAATATTGTTGTTTTGTCGAGCAATCCCCTTATCTCAGCGGTTAGGCTATCATTTGGATTGATGATGAAATGTCAACGTGTAAGTGGACTTGTAGATAACTGTAGACATTGACATTTAGAACAGTTAATTGATAGTTTTCATAAATCTATACTACTAAAGGAAGAGACCGATTTCATTGAGTCGCAACTCCTCTGAAACCATACAAAGTCGGAAATATTTGTGATATGACGTATAGATGTAGTGTTTTGTACTTCCTTAATTTGTCTTTGAAACAATTTTTTTCCACAGAAAACGCCAATTTTTGAGAATATATTTAAATTCGGAATCCGTTATCGATCCGTTTCTTATACGCTTTCGCGCATGCTCAGTCGACATACTACCCGCCCCTGTTTTTTTACACAGGCTTCTATTAATTGACAAAATTATTTTCTAACTTGCTTATACTGGCACAGAAAGCCAGTAAAATAGGCATTAAACCATTTTATTTATGTCTAAAAGCATTCCTAATAGGTTAAAATCCAAGAAATTTGCACAGTTCCTTCAAAAACATTGCAAATGCCCGCACTTCCGGTATTGGAAACTAATTACGGACTCAGACTTGGAAAAACCATGATAATTTTCTGGATTTCGTTTACGATGTCACAAATAATAAAAATAAAAAAAAATAATTTTCCGACCTACCGACCATATTTTAAAAAATGATGTACCATAAACACAGAATTTTTTCTTAGGGTATTTAATATTTTTATTTTCCAACCGAGATGAATGGGGTCTCTTGCATTATGTTCCTCATTTTTATCTCTTTAAAGAAATAGAATTAAATGCATTAACCGTGTCCAAATCCTTACTGTTTCCACCTTATTACTGTGTCCACACTTTTTGTTTCAACAGTTGCCCAATTGTACCGCGATTTCGCGGGCATCTTCTCGTATAGTTTAACCCCGCCGCATGTTTGCGCCTGTTCCAAGCCAGGAGCCTCTGGCCTTTGTTAGCCTTATATGTTTTTTTTAATTTGAGTTTATTTATATTTTAGAGTTTAGTATTACGTCCATTTTTACTGAACTAGTACACATTTTTGTTTAGGGGACAGCTGAAGCCCGCCTCCGGGTGCGGGATTTTCTCGCTGTGATGAAGTCCCACTGGTGGCCTTCGGCTGTTTTCTGCTCTTTGGTCGGATTGTTATCTCTTTGACACATTCCCGATTTCCATTTTCAATTTTACAATGACACTAAAAAGAATATTGAGTTGTGTTAAAGGAACAATGTTTGAAAAAAACTATGAAACGTTTAAATAACATTTATCTATCAATGCTTTGGGCAATCGGGGTCGAATGGTTAATTTGAAAGTGCAATGTATATATTTATTGTATATGCATAAGGTTAATTTGATTTGAAGTATATTTTGTATTTGACTTCAATTTAGAACTGTTGGACTTTTAAACGTGTTTGTATTTTTGTTGTTGATAGGTTGTAATGATAGAAATAACCAGTTGCAACCTGACAATTAGTAATTATAAGCTCAAGTTATACATCATATAAAACTTGAACTGGGAGAGGGGAGTTTCATATGGCTTTACATAAATTGGCACTAAATGTGTTAGTAAGTAAAAAGCTACTTAGTGGGCAATTAAACACCATAAGCCTATGAAGGAAAACAAAACCAGAACAAGATTCACATATCGAAAAAATGAAAACGGCATAAACAAGTGAAGCTTAAACTTTTAGTAAATTATAGAACAGATATGTATATTGAAAATAAAAATAATACTTTGGAAATTTCGTTCGTCCGAAACGCCTCTCAGGAGTTACCTTCAACTGAAACACTCAAACAAAAACATCTGAAAGCCAAGGATGTAAAAATACGTATACAAGATATGACCAAAAGTTATCTAAATTAAAAAACGAGTTTATTGTCTTTTACTCTTTTTGTGGGGTCTTGAAGTAACTGTCTCTCATTGATGCATATACGACACTGCCTTTCGTTCATATTGTTTACATGAATAACCGCTGTTGGTATTCTGTTGAATTTCTGAATCAAAGAAACATACATAGACAGAGTATTTATATTTACTCTAGCATCGTCGAGGTAACAGGTTTATCTAACTTTAAAAGGCCAAAACAAATGTCTCCTTGCAGCAATGCAGAAATAAAAAAGGTATGTTCAATATAGGTAGGTAAAACGATTAAGTAATACTTTTTAAACCTAAACTATATAGGGAAATGTGTTAAAATATCTGGACTTGAGGTGCTTCATTCAAAATTTCTTAAATGTGTTAGGGAAGGAATGACAATCATGGGTAAGAAGGGAGACAGGAAACACAACTATATATTTATTTGCCTTACCGTTCTGCTTTTTTATAAAAGAAGGAAAAAGATACCAAGAGGACAAGAAAAACAAGTATTCGATTAAAATCAGATAACACATGGCCAAACTGAGGTAAATACGAAATTGCAAAACAGCGCTCCAAGCAACACTAAAGATTGCGTTACCCGAACCCACCAAAAACGCAGATGCGTAGGAAGGGAAGGCAATTCTTGCTCCACTAGAGGCACATAATGTGTTGCTACTGTCATGTAATTACACTGAGGTATTCAAAGTTGGGTGTCTTTATTGGTCGCAACTTTCATACTTGACATAATAGATGCCCAAAAGTTACAATTTATTCTGCTTGAACCCGGATTAAGACTTTAAAAGTACAGTTGAATTAAAATACGACGATGTTGTATGATTGCCAATGAGACAACTACCCAACAGAGTCCATATGACTACGATTTCAGCAATTATAGGTCACCGTATGTCGGTTGAAAACTGGACTTTACAAATAGGAGATCACTTAACTGTTTCAATACTTTCTATAATAATAACTTTCGTTATTTATGGTGATATTTGTGTTTGGAATGTATGAATCATAGGTTAGTAGTGCAATTTTATTGAACTGGGTTTCTTTATCGGGAAAGCTGTTATTCGCTGCATCATCGGTTCTTAATGGTAAATGTGAAATCATCTCTTTTTCCCCCAAAATAAAATGAGGGTCTGGATGGGTGTCCTTCATTTCTGTAGTCTTTAATTTTGTAGGCCATTTTTCTCTTTTCTTTATATTTTAGCACCTCACTATTCTCTATTCTTTATTTTGTGGATCCATTTTTCTCTATTCTTTATATCTTTAGCCCATTATTCTCTATTCTGTAAACCCCCACCCACTCCCTCTAAAATGGTTGTTTTAGTTTGATATAACGACTACAATTCTGTTAATGAAAAGAACAACGACAATAGGGTTATAAATTGGCATTCGTAATAGCACGATGATCTAAAATTATAATATTAAAAATATATTAAAACTCATTACAAAACATTTGCTTACTATACCTAGAATAATACCTTTTACATTTTTTATTTAAATTGTCAATTGATGAATGGCACAACATCTTATTCTGGTTTGTAAACTTGTTATTAATCAAATCCGTTCTGTGTAACAATAATGACATTATTTTATAAGATAAAAGGATAAAATTCTGTCTTTTAAACTTTTTTTTTGAATAAAGCATACTGAAGAATCCAAACAGTATTAATTATTTTGACTTACAATCTGTAAATGATGACTTTACACTTGAGTGACTTTTTGTGTAATTATGAAAACATTTAAATGGTAACTTTACATTCACAAATGATTAAAGAGGGACGAATAGACATTTTAAGAACTGCGTTTGAATATATAACCTTTGCATGCAAATATTCGTGATTAAATATGGAAAAGAAGGACCAATACTTCCATACTTCTTTCAGAAAATGATTACGCCTAAATGTTCATTTATTAATAGAAAGTAAGTAAAGTTCAGGGGCAAGTTTGTCATGCAATTTCATATTCAAAGAGGAAATTTATAATTATTTAGAACAGAAAAAAACTAAAAGCGGATTTTCATTTATTGCAATCTATTATGCACATCTAGAAAAAAGAATAAAAAAAATAGGTTTAACATTAAATAAAAAAAGGGTGGGTGGTGGATGATTTATGAATGGATAGAGAGTTACAGAAAAGGATGAGGACTTTATACGACTGTCATAAAATTGAGAGGTTTAGCTAGCTATAAAACCAGGTTTAATCCACCATTTTCTACATGAGGAAATGCCTGTACCAAGTCAGGAGTATGACAGTTGTTTTCCATTCGTTTGATGTGTTTGAGTTTTTGATTTTGCCATTTGATAAAGGACTTTCCGTTTTGAATTTTCCTTGGAGTTCGGTATTTTTTGCTATTTTACTTTTTAAACATGTTTAAATAGTGTACTATAGTCCTGCTCAAACAAAGAAAGAAGTTCATTGTGTATTTTTTTCCTTTTTATTTCAATCAAATTGCAGTTATTTGATTACACATAACCATAGCACTTATGCCTGACAAAAATTGATTCCGCCTGAAATAATTAAAGAAAAATAATTACTATTTAGACAGTAATGATTGCAGAACGGATATCGACAATGGCGTCTCAAATCACCTATACAAACATTTAAAGATATTAACTGTTGAAAATACTTTATTACATTTAGAATAATTGTTCCCTCATTTGAATCGGATATGACAAGATAGGTGTTTAAAACACCCGCTGACAGATATTGTTAAAAACATTAATTGTCAAAATATTAAAGGAATAGTATATTTACAAATATACAAAAAAATGTCAGCCATATTTGTGATAGTTCTGGCCATATTGACGCTGAGTAAAACAAACGGACAAGATATTTCAAATGTGAAACAATTATATACGGATGTTTTTGCCAATCATCAAAAGGAAGTCCTACCAAAAGTTGATCAAAACACGCCATTACAGATTTCAGTGACAATATATCTGATGACTGTAACAAAGTTTGACGAAGTCGATGAAACGATAGTTATCTTAGGCGGTATGGGGTGTTCATGGAACGATGCTGGAATATACTGGGACCCGACGTCTTATGGAAATAAAACATATACCATTTTATCGAGTGAAAAAATATGGACGCCACCAATAACTCTAATAAACGCTGTTGATGTTTTAGGTCCTGTCCAAGGAGACACCAAAACTAATGCGTATATCTTTTACGACGGAAACGTGACATTGCCTCTTGGAGGTGTAATGTCAGCAAAGTGTACAACAGATATATCAAAATTTCCATATGATTCTCAGACTTGTAAATTTCAGTTTCTTTCGTGGGGTTTAGATGAAACGGAATTAATACTTAATTTAAGTTCTGATCCTTTTAATGCACAATTTTTTACACCAAATTCTAATTGGAATTTTTCATCGTATGATATACGGACATTTTCCTGGAATGGATATTCAACATTAGAATTTTCGATAACCATCAAACGTGCGTCTTTGTACTACAGCGTTATGGTTGTATGTCCAACTATTTTGTTTGGGTTGCTGAATCCGCTTGTGTTTCTTCTCCCTGTCGAATCCGGTGAACGGATCGGACTAGCAATGACCATACTTCTTTCGTATGCTATTTTTCTAACCTTAGTTTCTGCAGCCATTCCCGCATCGTCGAATCCAATGTGTATTCTATTGATAGTAATGATAGTAACTATCGTTATAAGCGGTATCATAGTTGTACTGGCTATTTACGTTTCATCCCTGTACTATCGAGATGATAAGATTAAAATAAACGCTTTCTGGAAGTTCATTGGGTTACGCCTTCCTTGGAGCAAGACACACAATAAAATCGCAACAGAAACGGTTTCCTGTGAAAAGCCGGGAATAGGTTGTTCCGGCGATGTTAATGTTACATGGCAGGATGTAAGTCATGGATTAGATGTTTTGTTCTTGATTGTGTCTTATATTTTAATATGTGTTTTAATTGGAGTGTATTTCATAATTGTACGGTAAACTTCTCTTAAGATGTTTTTGAACTGATATTAAACTTCTTGTTTATGTTGTAAATGCACAAAATACAATATTTTCATATTTGCTTTAACCTTCTTTATAAAAAAGCAAGGGATATAAGATAAAAATATAGCGTGTTTACATACATATCTATAAATATTAATACAACGTACTAAAAAATTAGAGCATGTCAGTGGTACAACGGCTTTGTTGTGTATCTTGAAAGATGGTACAAAGTCATCATCTGTGAGTTATTTTAAACAGTTTTTATTACTGGAAAATTACAACAAAAAAGTAGTACAATGTTACATGAAATTCAAATATTGGATTCGGAAACAATTTTGGAAAAACTTTTACAAATCCTTCTCCCAACAGTGAGTTGAAATGTTTCCGTCCGACATCAAGGTAAAAACGGCCTCTTGCGCCAACATGAACACTACCATTTCTCTATTCCATATATGTATTGTAACCACAAACAAGTATATTATTATTGTTGTTAAATAATATACCTCACATTTAAATGAATCAAATTGGAAAATCCCATAATATTTAAACCCATTCTAATAAAAAAATGTTACCTTCCGGTTTTTGGAAGGCCCTTACTCATCAATCTTAAGATTTAGACTTGATACTCATGAACAGTACATGCCAGTACATTAGAGTTTGGAGTTAATTGCATAGAAATTATAGTAAAGAGTCCAAAAAGTCACTGTGATCGGAGAAAAAAAATATTTTGGCACAAAATCGTAAACAAAAATTATTTTTCTATCTTCGGTTGCCACTATTAATACCATTACGGACAATAACTACTCCTTTCTACGAACCCTTTATCCACCCCACTTTTCATACGAACTGGCTCTTTTTACATATTTCGTTTAGTATAATATCTATTTGACAGTGTAATTATGTGCACATTTTAATATCTCTTTTTAAATAACAAATATGACATTTTTCTTAATTATATATGTTGTTTCTGAGTTACAAATCTGATTGATAGTATTATTATTTGTATCATTATTACAATTATATTTCATCCTGCATTATTATCTTTTATTTTTTGCTTCTGAATATCATGAATGTTTTAAGATTTAATTTTTATGAATATAAATGAGTTGTATGCCCTTTGATAATTTCAAATACGAGTGTTGTGTTTTCATAAGTAAATTAATATTCTTTTATTATTATTATGCACAATTCATGTCAAATTTGTGGTTTGAATAAAAATCTATGCGTTTCACGCAATTCAATGAGTAACTCTAAAATATATTAAGTTTTCTTAATTTCTGATTTTCCTACAATGAATCGTCATGACATGTAGTAAGATATGATCATATACTTTTGCCAAGAAAGAATGATATAATTGTCGGAAGACCATTTCAGTTTAGGAAGCATACCGGAGAATCATCGGCAGTTTAATTCATGTTCTCTTTTCATTGATTCTGTTGCGTTAAATTTGTTATTAGTAATTGACAAAATCGTTTTGTCCTGTACTTTTGATTATGTTGCTGTATGAAAATTCTCTAAGGTAAACGACTGAAATAAGAGTTTTGGACGGCATGATTTCATATCAGTACGTTTAGTTTGTTTTCAGTAACTTCAAGTACTCCATCTATGGTACAACTGTATTTGTTGTTTCGCCTGAAAGTGAAGCTCTATCGAACCACATGAATCAGTTTAGTCGTCTGGCGTCGCCGTCCACGTTGTCTGTGTTACACTTTGTCAATCCGCAATTGCGTTTGAAAATTTCAAAGACTCGTTAACAGAAAATGCACTTGTGCACTTCCTATTTGGTTTTTAATCTGAATGAATTTATAGGTGGCAATCCAAAACATGGACGTTGACATTTTTGCTAATGTTATTTGTAGTTGTCAGCCAAAAAAATGTCTTCCATGTAAAACTCACAAAGGTTTACTGATTAGCTTGTACTTATTATAGAGATATTTTCCTCGACTGAATATTATTACCTGTTCAATTTATGAACACTTTGTTATTCAACTGATCGAGAATCAAAAAGAGAGATTTGAGGTTCAATATCTTTCCCCGAAGAACCTTGACTGTGAGCTAGGGTCTTATGTCATATTTTAGTGTTATTCTATTTTTCTGAAAATTGGCGTTATATGTCGATCGTGTTGTAAACATTTATTCACACATTTTAAAGGACGGTTCAGAGCTTGAGTTCTTGTATATACACCTGTCTATAGTTGAAGACTGTTGAAGTATGCTGACCTTTAGATGTTTTAGATCGCGGTGTTGCTGTCCAATAAACACAAACATCACATCTCATTTCATTTATACTTCACTAGACTAGTGAAAATTTGACAAAACAAGTGCTTGATGAAAATTTCAATTCCGTGCGCACTTCTCAAGATACCTATGGTATGCTACATGGTAAGTTCAGGAAACAAATTTATCAGAAGAGAAGCGCGCACAATTCCAAAGTGATATTCAAACAAATTTAAGTTGAATATGAACTGAAAACTCTATGTCAAAATATAAAACAGAAACACGATGAAATGATTAACAAAAGTTTACAAAACACAACATAGAAAACTAAAGAGTTAGCAACACGAACCCCACCGAAAAATTGAGGTGATCTCGGGTGCTCCGTAAGGTTAGCATATCCTGCTTCTTATGTGCCACCCGTCGTGTTGCTAATGATTGATTATGTTAGTAATCATCAGGTGGTAAGTCTCATTCGGTTCCGTCACATTCGAGGAAACAAAACAAAATAAAATAACAAAAATTCCGAATTCCGAGGAAAATTCAAAGCGGAAAGTCCCTTATCAAATGGCAATATCGAAAGCTTAAACACACCAAATGAATGGAAAACAATTATCATATTCCTGACTTGGTACAGGCATTTTCTTATGTAGAAAATGATGGTTTAAACCTCGATTTATAGCTACCTAAACCTCTCACTTGTATGACAGTCGCATAAAGTTTCATTATATTGATTTCATAAGCAACAAACAGATTAATAATAGTCTCCTAACCACTACATTAAAAACTAAAGACTGACCCAAATGAATTCAACAAAAAATAGGGATGATCTCATGTACTCCGGAACGGCCAACTAATCCTGTTTTAAAGGTATGATTATTATTTTTTTCTTTTAAATATATAATGGTATATAAATTCAAAAATAATCCTCAGTGGTCTCGTGGTAGCGTGTTTGCATCGATTGCGTGAGTTTGACACGGGCCTGTTCAAATCTAAGACTGTAAATTGATATTTGCTGGTTCACCGCTAAAATCGCGGCATTTAGCATATAAGAGAAAAGACTAGTCTTCCTGTGAACTGATACCTTATTAACTAGCACATTAAAAATCCGGCTCAGCGTATCGTTGTAGTACAAATCATGTTTCTTATTAATAAGTTTTATCATATCGTCTCCATCTCAGATGTAAAGTTCTTCAGAATATTTCAATTTTAAGTTGTCGTTTCACAAATATATCCGGCTCAGTTTTTCAAAGTTTGTATTAAATTGAGTGGTATCGAACTTTTAATTTGTGAACATTCAGATCTACATTTTAATTAATTGACAAGTTTTTCATAAATAGAATAACTCCTGAATTAGATCTATTAAATTCATTAGATTCACCGTTCCATATTTCTTTAAAAAGAATTATTTATCTTTTAAAAAGGAAGAATAAAACATCAGCTTAATTTTGGAATGAAACTGTGAAAGTACTAAATTATCCTATTTCGATGTTTAAATTCATAGTTGAAGGGTTTTGAATACCAGTAATTATAACGATAAGCAATGGATGCTGTAGTGTTTTGGCTATTTTCTAGACCTCCATGAAAACATTTCGTATGAACCCAATATACATTTTTAGCTCACCTGGCCCAAAAGGGCCAAGTGAGCTTTTCTCATCACTTTGCTTCCGTCGTCCGTCGTCGTCTGTTAACTTTTACAAAAATCTTCTCCTCTGAAACTACTGGGCCAAATTTAACCAAACTTGGCCACAATCATCATTGGGATATTTAGTTTAAAAAAATGTGTCCAACGACCCCGCTCGACAACCAACATGGCCGCCATGGCTAAAAATAGAACACAGGGGGTAAAATGCAGTTTTTGGCTTATATCTCTTGAAACTAAAGCATTTACAGTAAATCTGACATGTTATAAAAAGGTTCATCAGGTTTAGATCTATCTGCCCTTAAATTTTCAGACCAATCAGACAACCCGTTGTTGGATGCTTCCCCTGAATTAGTTATTTGAAAGAAATTTCGCAGTTTTTGGTTATTATCTTGAATATTGTTAGAGATAGAGATAAAGTGTAAACAGCAATAACGTTCAGCAAAGTAAGATCTACAAACAAGTTAAACATGACCAAAATTGTCAATTGATCCTTTTTATAAGCAGTTATTACCCTTTATAGTCAATTTTTAACAATTTTTCGTAAATTTTTGTAATCTTTTACCAAAATCTTCTACTCTTAAATTACAAATTCAACCAAACTTGGCCACAATCATCATTAGGGTATTTAGTTTAAAACATGTGTCCAATGACTCCGCCTTCCAACCAACATGGCCGACATGGCTTAAAATAGAACATAGTGAAATGCAGTTTTTGGCTTATATCTCTGAAACTAAAGCATTAGGAGCAAATCTGACATGGGTCAAAATGTTCCTCAGGTTAAGATCTATCTGCCCTGAAATTTTCAGACAAATCAGACAACCCGTTGTTGGGTTGCTGCCCCTGGATTGTTAACTGTAAGGACATTTTGCAGTGTTTGGTTAATATCTTAAATATTATTATTATAGATAGGTTAAATTGTAAACATCAATAATGTTCAGCAAAGTAAGATCTACAAATAAGTCAACATGACCAAAATTGTCAATTGACCCCTTAAGGAGTCATTGCCCTTTAAAGTCAATTTTTAACACTTTCCGTACATTTTTGTAATCTTTGGGTAAAATGCAACAAAAACAAAACAAAAATATCAGATGAGCGACACAGGCTCCTTGGATTCTCTAGTTTTTTTTAAATGCTAATTTTCAAAAGTACAATGTGCATGTATACTGATAAGAATTTGCTAGCTAAATAAAGTTATTTGAAATATAAGTTTGACCAAAG